CCCCAAAACCCCAAAACCCCAAAACCCCAAAACCCCATTTCTGCGAATATCTATTGAAATTGGAATAAATCTCAAATTGATGCTTTATTCTTAGCTCTATTTTCTACCCACCAGAGGATATATACATATACACAGGAATGAGAGAGGGACCTAAAACTTGGATTTCCATTGAACTACATTATGAACTTAACTCCTCAATTTTCTTATCCAGACTCTTTACATCATTCTGAGTTCTGACAGTGATGTGGCCAATATTGTTATTCTCATAAATCCTCTTTCTGAATTCATACTCTGGTGTAGCACGTTCCTAAAGCATGAGGTAAAAAATAATGAAATAGTAATGTGCTGGGTAGAAATAGGTGACATACTCGGATAGAAGCTCTGAACCACTCAAGCCACCACTCCTTTGGTCCTTGCTCACTAGTATTACTCTGAGCGTCCCTATATCTGTTAGTTTTAGATGAGCTTACTCATTTATTGGTAAAGTGCAGAAATAGTCATTTTCAGGTCAATCAAAGAAGTCAATGATGATTGCATCACCACTCTCAATTTCTTTTTGACTAAAATTCAGAGGGGTTAAAGAATCTTTCTTAAAAACGACGAATTTTGGCTAAAGATTAAGAAGAAATGCACCTTAAAAAGTCCTCCGAAGAGCTTAAAATTAGTCCAATATTGGTATCCCTTCTTGTCAAGTTCATTCATTACATCAAATTCCAGTTTTGAGAACGCCTTTGAGCCAGAATTATGGAGTTGATTATGAACATTGTTTAACTTATTTGTTGGCAAGAGAGTTATGTCCCCATTGTCCAAGAAATAATTAATTTGCTGTAGTTTTCCTTGAGTCTTTATACTCCATCTCATCCTAGAAAGATAACTGAGGTATAATTACGGATCATTCCTTGCAGCTTTGCGGCCTTGGCGATTAATAGTATTTGAGACTAGCTTGATCATATTGGCATAAACATCACGATCATCAATCTGGGCAAGTGACAATGAGTAGAAGATGTTGTAATAATGATCCAAATGTAGCCTTCTCTGTAGAAAAATTACACTGAAATCCTTACAAGCCTTTCCTTTCCTCTAACTGGGAAAACATATCCCCTCGCGAAGCCTTTAATTGGAGTAAGTATCTCTGGCTTCTTGACCAAGCCCCATTTAGTGAATCCATAAATGAAGCTAGAAAGGACTTCTAAATTTTTCACTAGATATAACTTGGCAAGATTACTATCTAATGATTCTTCGATTTGTTCCAGCCTCTTGACTGATTCCTGAACTATCAAGTTTGTCTAGGGGTAATTGCATAGACTTACTGGGTCTTCAGAGTCTAAAATTGATACAAAAGGCTTACCTTCTGATGGATTGACTTCGGATAGATCAACCAGATTGACAATGAATGCAAGATCTTCATCTTTCAGGTTTCCCAAGCTTTCTGAAGTTATTTTGGACATAATTAGCTCTACGAATTGAGAATAGGTTTTGTAGAAGCTAAGCAGCTCTTCGCTCTGGTCTCCACTCTTTAGCATTTTCAATACCCTATTCACCATCGGAAGGACTATGAATAAGAAAGGTCACATACTTGGGGAGAATTTGTGTAGAGGAACCAAAGCTATTTTCTTCATTACCACAGCCCAAGACTCGTACAAGTAAATTCCTTTATCTGCCAAGGACTTTAGAACAACTAGCATGGAGTAGAGTTGCTTATGGGCCATATGTTCTTCTAAATAATTTGAAACAAAATTACTTTTAGTGTCCCAAAGAAAGTCTTCTCTGAGCAGGGATGCAAATTTAAGGTCGACTTCTTGAAGGAAATCTATAAGTGATTATCTCAAGCATTCGAACCTTTTGTAAGGAACTCTTGTGGTATTCTTTCAGTGGCCAAATAGTATCTCAAAAATTCTCCAAAGTCAGCTTTCCTAAGAGAGGGGATTGATTTTTCAACAATCTCTAACAACTTCGTGAAGATAGGATTGTTGTACAGCCTAAGCCTGGTAAGCTCATTCAGAAGAATAGAGTAGGCAAAGTAGATCCCTTTTCCACTTTCATGGAGCTTATCAAGTCCTATAGTATATTCATCAGGCACTTACATTCTATAACTTTTTCATCAAAGAGTTTGTTGCCTATTAAGGTAACCACAGTCATATCTTCAAGGTTAGCTTCATTGATTGGCTTAACAATATGACTCAGTTTTGATTCTAAAGGAGTTGAAATATGCATTTTGACCCGAGCTTCATAATTTTGGAGAAATAGGTTGTACACCTTAAAGATTTTAATACAGCTATTAGCCACTGAATTGGAATCAAGCTCTACATGCTAATGCAACATCTAATACCATAATCAATAGCGGCCTGAATAACTCCTGAGTTTTCGATGTACTCATTCAGTTCCTGGAAAGTGAAATGCTCTGAAAGAGGTTAAATATGAAATTTGGTCCCTACTTTGATGAAATTTTAGCAATTCAAGGAATACAATAGCCCAACTGATACCTTGAACGCTCTGATTTTCATTACTCTGCATTGCTGAAAAATCTAGAATAAAGTTTAAAATTCTGGTCGGTCAAAATTAAGTTGCGTGTCTGTGTCAAGAATGAAGACAAAGTATTTCTCGTAAATATTTCCAGAAACATCCTTTCCACCAAGATCTATTTTGTAAATATGGTGGTCAGTGATACATGATTTACTGCTCCCAATATCCCAGGCCCATCCTGGATCAATCTCCCTTGACCGCAAAATTAGTTTTTAGTTTAATTTTACTGCTCTTCTAACTTACCTTCTTCAAAGGTGAAGTGGGGCAAAAACTGCTTGAAATATTTTCCTACAAAAACATCACAAAAAGGCTCATACCCATGATTTCTTGGTTTGCCTTAGGATCCCTCATCAAGTTGGAAAAGATGAATGTAAGTTTGACTGAGTCCAAGCTGTTGAACTTGGGGAGTTCGTCCCTAAAAATCAGGCTCAGAACCTACTGTGGGAATTCAAATCCTTCAGGCATCGGGGCAGCGTTGATCGATGTGAAATCCAGTGGTCTATATAAATGAGCAGGACAATTACTGCTGAATTTGGATTAACTGCTCTTTGAACAAGCTCTCAAGCTGTTGATGTGTCTGATCATTCATGGTAATTCTTCCAGATTTAATCTTGTACCAAAAGGAGATCTACAAGCCTTTGTTCAAGATCTGACCACTCATTTTGTTGTGAAGATAGCTTGAGCCTGTTAATAATTAGATTTCTTAAATAATGTTTTACACGAGCATTAATAAAAGCGAGACTGGATCAAGAATTTACCTGAGTAATCCCTCTGATTTTGTCTAAATAACATATTTGTATGTCTCAACACCAATGGATAATTTTTAAGCAGGTTTGAAGCTGTTCTAGAAGGCAACATGTTGTGCCAGGAGGTCCTGCTCTTCGCTGGTAGAGTCCTCGAGCACCCTTTTAGCAATTTACTGCTTTTCAAAGAATTTAACATTTGTGGTCTAAAAATTATTATTATATAAATATTAATGGGGTTTTGGGGTTTTGGGGTTTTGGGGTTTTGGGG